TTTTCTAACGCCTTTAACTATTATATCAAAGGCTTGGAGACAAGTTTAAAGCTAATTAATCTTTATCAGGATCGAAGATATTATTTCTTTGTTGGATAATATTAATTATGTGATGTGGGTCAAAGTGTTTTTGATGAAAGATAAAATGAAATAATGTAAAAAAGCAAGTAGCCAAGATAGAATAAATAGCATTGTGCCAAAAGGGAATAGGTCCAAGGCCAAAAATGACAAGTTTTGAACAGAGATTTCCAGCTTGATTGTTGTTCCTCCAACTTTTTTTACTCATCAGAAACCCCTTTTCCTTGTTTTTTATGAGCTGCCTTTATTCTTTAATCTTTAATCACATTCTTTTCTTTGGTTTAAATTGATTTGGGAATTTGAATATTGCCACGTATAAACATAAATTTAACAATGCAAGTTGAAAACTTGATCATGAATAGTGAGACTCATAATTGAACTTCTATTTAACCTTTACCGGACCTCATGATTCCCCATATTTGCTAATAATTTGGTGAAAGTCTTCAAACTTTTAATTGAGAATTTAATCGATTCAGAATGTCAACTTTAAAAGATGATATTTAATATATTTGATTTCGAATTTATTTTCACGAATCTATATTTTATGGTCAAGTATCCAAAGACATTTCTTACAATTAACAGGAAAATTTTTTTGTACACTTTTAAAATTAAAAATTTTGAAAATTATCTTTTATATAAATAAAATTAATAAATTTATTAATAATTATATATATTACAAATGAATACCATAAAAAATATTCTGATTTCATCTTCACAAATTCAAGTAAACAATTCTCAAGAGATCAATTTATCTGATAATATAAAATATGAAATAGTGACACGACATAAATATAATATTAATAGTAGATACGAAAATGATATAATTTAAATTTTTAATAATAATTATATTTACGTTTAATAAAATAAAAAATTTATATTTTTATATTAATACGAATTATAACATATAAATTTTATATAAAATTTGATATCGATATACAAATTTTAATATTTTGTATGATTCAGATTCACTTTATTGACAGTGAAAGAACGATTGGGAAAAGCCAAAAATGTTGGGTGGTTGGTACCAAGTGGCCAAAAACAATGATAACAAATTAGAATCGACAACATCAAATCGTTCATAGGCATCATACTTCAGCATGATAACTTGATCGTGTGAGGTTCAAAAAAATTGTGCTCAATTGAAACACAGCAGGACAAGACAGAAGAAGAAGAAGATATATGATCCTTGGACAAGATCTTATCAATCTACCAAGAATAAATTCCCTGATTTTATCAACGACACCATGAAAAGATTGAGTACGCAAATTAACTTCAAATCAGAATTGAAATGGCAATGGCTCATTGGTTAGATCATTTTTGGTCATTTTTCAGATATGATTAAGGATATTATTATTATTATTATTAAAGAGGAAGAATGAGATTTGAGGAATACTTTTGGTTATAAAGGTTAAGATTTAAGAATCATATGATGTAGACCATGACTAAGTATATATGGGCAAATCTTGAAAAGCAAAAGAATCATCTATATTGTGGTCAAAAGAAACCTAATTGCTTAGGCAAATTATAAATAAATAAAAGGGTTACACCCAAAAGAAATTTAGCTTAAATCGATGCAATATTAGACTATCTGTGCTTTTGTGTTAAAATCAAAATCATAACATGCAAACCCTTTATCTATTTAGATATATTTTTTTAAATAAAAAATAATTTTGTTTATAATTAAGTGAGTTGTTGATAAAATGTTAAATTTTTTATTTTAAAGATTAAGGTTCAATCCCTAAGAGTATCAAATATAAAAAATTATAATTTCTACTCTTCTTGTAATGTGAAAAAGAAAAAAAAAATCAACACTTTTGAATATTTAGGTCGAAATTAAAAAAAAATGTACCCAAGGAATATTTGGTTCAGTAATAGTATATGTATTCTCCTGCTGAAGAATTGAGATTTACTTTTTTTTTCCCTCCAAAATAGTAAAAAAAAAAAAAAAAGAAGAGAAAATATACCTTTTGGTTCAATGTGCTGTTCAAAGAGTCAATTCAAAATTTCTTTTTGCTAAAAAATAAAGGAAAAAAAAGAGAAGATGAAAGTTAAGGAACTCAACCAATCACTGATGCAACAGGAACCTTGGCCCATAAGGCTATGGTGACCCATTTGGGTTATTTGTTGAAGCCCATTATAGAAATTCCAGTTGTAGAGATGTTGATTTGCATTGCGTGGCTCATTTCATGGGGACCCTGAGTGTCAATAAAATATCCAAAAAACATGATTTGAGTTGGAGGAGACGGTGACTAGAAATGTTAATTTATGTATTTATTTTGTATAAAATATTTATAATTTGTATATTTTTATTATATTTTAAATTAAATATATCAATATAAAAATATGAAAAATATTTTTAATTTTTTTAAAAATTTTAAATTATATTATTTTTATATATTTTATTTATATTATTTTTATATTATATGATCGTATCATATTTTAATTATTAAATAATAACTATAAAGAATCAAATAAAAATATGCAAAGAAGACTCAATGGCATCTATTACAGTTCATATTTGATACGATTTAAAAAGTTTTTTTATGATATTGTGATCAAATTGAAAAATAAAAAATTCTTTGTTTATAGCCATATTTAATAAGCATTTTCGTATAATATAAACTGAATTCGATATTTAATTTAATTAATTTATATAATTACATTTCAAAAATAACATTTCAAAATATTCAAATAGAGTCCCTCCTTTGTCCCTACTTGGCTACTTTTCCTCTCAATCCAAACATAAATACAAGAACTAACCTTCTCTTTCTTTTTTTTTTTTTTTTTGGTGATTGACAATTTTGTGACTCTTCTCAATAAAACAATAAGTCATAGTATAACTTTTTGCTCCCTCACTGTCAAATCTTTTGCATTTTTTAAAGACTATTGAAATTAAAATAAGTTTAAATTTTGTTTTTCTTTTTTTTTTTTTTTATAATTACTTAACATAACTACATTCATAGAGTTTTCTAAATAATCCAAAATTCAAAGTGTATATAAATAAATTATCACATTCATTGATCAAAATTTTTAAATTTTATGTATGAATAAAGTGACACATATTTTTAAAGTATAATAAAAAATAAAACATGTGATTATATATTAAAAATAAAAAAGATATTTTATTGTTTAGGTTTCATGGGTTAATTTGTAATCTTAATAGCTAGAATTTGAACCTTAAACTCGTCGAATCATCAATAGAAAAAGATAGGATGTGGAGGTGTGTTGAGTTTCATAATTCCCTTGATATTTTGGTAAGAGAAACTCTTCCAATTTTGCATATGAGCTTTAATGGTCTTAAATATTACACATTTTCTTTCAAACAATTAAGGTTGAATGGAGACCAAATAGAAAGAGACTTTGCCTTTGACAATGATTCTTTTCAAACACATATCATGCATGTTGCTGCCAATTCCAAAAGGGATTAGTTATGAGGGTGATGCTTGGAAAAAAAAAAAATAGTTTACTATGGGCCCAAGTTGCCGCTTGTTTTGTAATTGAGCTCTGGTTAATGGTTATGGTACTTGTCCACCGGATTCAAAGGTTCATTTTTAAGGAATGTTTATCTATAATATATAACAAAATTGATAATATATTTATTATTTTTATTAACGAAAAAATATTTTAAAAAAATTTATGTGCCCAATTTTTTTTTTCAATTTTTGATAGTGTAGACATTTTATTTTTATTACTGGATCTGCCCTGCCAATTAGAGATGTTAATCCAATTTAAATTCGTTAGATTTCGATTATATTTGATCATATAAGATCAATTTTTTAAAATTGAATTTCAAGTCAAGTTGAAATTAATTTTTTTTAGTCGAAATCGAGTTTTAAGCAAATTTATCTTAATTTGACCTAATATATATAATTTTATATTTATATTTAAAAATAATTTTTATTAATTTTAAATATGAGCATATCAATTATAATTTTATGTATATACGAATCGAATAATATATAAAAAATAATATTTTAATATCAAATTAAATCAAATTTAAATATTTATTATATAAAATCGAATCGAATTCAAAATTAATAAAAATTTATCCCTCTCTAACTTGACATGTTGCCATTTTTACAGCTACCGTTGCTAAATAGCATGCAACATCAAGCATGCAAGCCACATGTAGATTTGAAGCTAGCTGATTGATCCCGTCCCACAAACAGAGGATAATGTTCTTTACAACCCCATCTCCTTGGCTCTTTTATCACTCCTTTTAGTTCATGTTCTTTTTATATTATCGCATATCATACTCAGGTAACGAGTTTTATATACAATTTTTTTTATCAAAACTGAAAAATAATGGTGAGACGAAAAAGTAAATAAAACTTACCTTTTTTACTCATCATATACTGCATGATAAATAATATTAACACTCTTTAATTATCTTCTGCAATAATTACTAAATAGCAAAAACAAATCATAATTATAATAAAATAAAAATTTTAAATTTTTATGTGTTATCAGATTGATATTTTATATGTCAGTAATAAATCAGACCTCATTTTATTAAGAAATTTAATTTTGATTATGTGAGAGGTTATTTTTTAAAATTTATAATTTATTCTTAAATTTTTATCCTATTATTTATCTGATTAAAAAATATTATAAATATAATTTTTTTAAATTCATAAGTTTCAAGTATTAATTTTAATAATATTTTAATTGATTCAAAAGATACTAATTTTTTATTAATATATAAAAGTTGAAAGAAAAAAAAAAGAGAAAAAATAAAAAGGGAGAAACATGAAGGCAAATGTATGGGCTACATTGAGATGATAGGCTCGTGTCCATGCAAATTCCATAAGTGAGCATGGCAGTGCCTCTGACCACAAGCGATTTTTTAAAATAAAAAAATGAAATAAAAGAGAATGAGCTTTGACACAGACACACATTACGTACTCTCTGTCTCTCTCTCCCTCTCTCTCCACTCATTGATTTGTAGCTGTTGAAACACTGCCACAGCCCAAAATTCAACAAACAGTGGTTAGTGTATTATCTGCTTTTTTATTTTTTTGCTTCTGAATGCTCTGGACTTTGCTCCATCATCCCCATCTCTTTAACCTCAGCTTTCCCATAATTCTACACCTCTTTTGTTTCTCTCACTTTCTTGGCAATCTTATCTCCATTCATTAGCTTTTCATCTTCAACAATCACTGTACTATTTGTGGTAAAAACTAGAAAAAAAAAGATACCCACGGTCACAGACCACAGCTCTGTCTTTGTATTTCCATACTTCTCATCCCATAGCTTACAAAGCAGCGTATCACTCAATCATATGCTTTGCTGCTTCACAGATATACCGAGTAAGAATCTTGTTCACCAACTATATCTCATAGGCTATGGATTTTCTTTTCTTTTTTTGGGGTTAGTTTTTGTTTTGTGTTATGGATTTTAAGCTTTAGTTTTTGCACTGTTTATTTTCGTGTTGTTTAAAGTTTTTTTTTTTTTACAAGAAATTTTCTCTTGTTTTCAGCTGTGGGTTTTAGTCTAAATCATTTTGGTTGATGTTCCTGTTGATTTTGGTTTTTTTTTTCTTGCTACCTGAATGGCCATCTGTGATGTTTTTGTTTTCTGTTTCTTTTCATGATTTTTATGAGTGATTTTGGATGCATATTCCTTGTCAATTTTTGCTGCTGATTATCATGCTTTTGGTTAAAAGTTAGACAGTATTCTGTTCTTACCACAATTCATTATCAGTTATTTTACATTCTGTACTTCAATTTCTTTTTTACCAAAAAAAAGAGAGGAAAAACAAAAAGAAAAGAAATTGCTGTGAAAATGGTTCTGATAGAAAGAAGTTTGGAGAAGAAAAACTAAAAAAATGAGGTGTGGAATTTAGAAGAAGAAAAAAAATCTCTGGTTGGAATGGTAACATGAAGAGAGTGGCTAAATTGAAAATTATAGTAATTGATTTCTGTTTAAGTGCTTTTTTAAATGAATTGGAGAAAAATAAAACACTTTTCTAAGGCAATTCCGAATACCTTCCATGCATGTCAGTTAAATTCATGAATAAAGCATAAATATGTGGATAAAACCTGAAATCTTGAACAGAAGGGACATAATTTTTTTGTTTTTGACTGAGAAATTTCTTTGTTGCTCATTGATCTGTTAGTGTATAGTTGCATCCTTTCTGTCCTTACTAATTGTATGGTTTGCACAATTCATGTATGAAAACTTAGAGACAAATCATAGATACGTGTTCAAGTTTAGCTTTATCATCTTAGCAAGAAGTTAGGCCTATTACGACAGGTTTAGCTTGTTAAGATTTATGGAATGGTATTTGTGATTCCTGTATGTGTATATGGAGATTGTTATGTATATAAATATAGTTAAATTATGTTGTCCATATTTCTAGGGTTGGATTTTTTGTTAAGAAATCAAATTGAAGTTGGCATGTTCATGTTAAACGTGCTTGATTGCATGTCAATTTGACAAGCATGAGAGACTCAGATAGACCTCCCATATCACAAGACCCTTTGTATATTTCTTTCTCACTTTTAAACTTTGGCAAATAATCCATTTTTTTATGTGCAGGTGTTGAAGAGCTAACTAATTAATACTGTTACAATTCATACTGGTTATCAAAAGGAACAAGCACTAGACGTTGCTGCTTTACCTGAAAATGACACCACCAAACCCCAGGCTAGAAGCTGAAAATGATTCGGAAGCAAGTAGCCAAGTGGTTTCCAACATATCTGCACACGAAGCATCTCCTGATCCCTCAAAGGATAGCACAACCACTACTTCATGCCTCACAAATCCCATAAAAGCTCAACCAGATTCAGGGCCTGTTTCCCTTGACCTGACTCTCCATTTTGGGGCCAGTGATGCTGAGATGAAGGGCACTGGCGAGACTAATAGTGAGATAGCAACCCATACTTTGTCAACCACAATGCCAAGGGTTTTCTCTTGTAATTATTGCAGGCGCAAGTTTTATAGTTCACAGGCACTGGGTGGACACCAGAATGCTCATAAGAGGGAGAGGACAATGGCAAAGCATGCGATGCGGATGGGGATATTGTCTGATCGGTATACAAGCTTCGCTGCCCTGCCACTTCATAGTTCTGCATTTCGGTCCCTTGGGATCAAAGCTCATTCTGCTATGCACCAAGGAATCATGCCATCCCAGAGGCCTCTAGATACAAGAGCTGGAGCAAGGTTTGATCAAGGGTATATTGGAATGCCAATGTTCATGGAAGATGACGATGGTGACTTGTTTTGGCCAGGGAGTTTTAGGCAGGTGGATGAAGTAGTTGGCAGTAACCAGGCTTTGGAGTTTGCTCAAAATTCAACTCAAAGTTCAAATATAGGTTTTGTAGCAATGGCATCACCACCAAGAACAGATACATCTTCACCTGATCTTACTTTGAAGCTCTAAATTTTTTAAGGTTCCTTCTCATCCAAACGTGTTACTTATTATGGTGCTCACTCTGTACAGTGAGATGCATTAACAATGGCTGCTAGCTCCTAAGATGATTTTTGCTAAATTTCTTTTAACCGTTTAATTTTCTTTTTTTGTCCGTGCCATTGGTTTGCTGCTGATGTGCAAAGTGTGGGGTATGAAATGAAAGCTATAGCTTGCTGTGATGATGGTACTATTGATTTTATGCGCCAGATTATGAGGATTATCAAAAGCCTTAAGTATTCTGATGATAGCTGGAATATTCCTACGATCTGAAATTTTGCTTTGGAAGGTTCTAAGCCTGCACCAATTCGTTCTTCCAAAGTGTAATGAGAGTTGTATGTAGCAAATATTAAGCTGTAGGAGCTTCTGTGACAGAGGATGTGAAATATTCGTTCATCCAACAAGAATAATCTGACAGGTTGAGTTTCTCTTTTTCACCAAATCATTGTTTGGAGACAGGAATTGGGCAAAAATTCTGAGATAAGTTGTGTCGCCTTTCTTATTCGGATTAGGTTTAGAGATTGGAACGTATCCAACCTGCCAAACTCGAACCAATTTTATCCAACAGATGGAACTCATATGGCACCATAGGCCATTTGCATGGTTGATCGTTGCTCCCACGATCAATTTCTTCTTGAGCAGCGTTGTTTGCATGAACTCCCTTGTTTTCCGATTTATGCTTCTTGTAGTCGTCAATGTGTGTCTCATTCTTGGCAACAGCCTGATCGACAGCAATCAAATTCTTATCTTTCCCATGACACTCTAATAAAACCATAATTTGTCATGGTACATCCAATCAGTGTAACACCGTTCAAAAAGATCACCATTTCCTTCATCAGGTGCCTTCTGATTTCTATCATTGCATTTACAGCATGGGCAGGAAATTTTATCTGCGATCCCATTGATAGCAAATTCCATATCTAGAAACTCATCTAGATGCATCCAGCTCTTGAAAATTGCCATGATTCTGCATATATAAAGGCCAATCGCGAATAATCAAGCTTACACTGGAATCTAAATAACGAGTCAAATTCAGTCCGACAGTTTCCATTCCTATCATTAGGTCGAGTCTTGAAAAATATAGCCCTACCTAACTTTTAATCTACATTTTTTTTTCTAGGCAGCCCAATTTCTTTCTTTGAACCAACTACGTAGAGCATTTATGGTTCAAACACTAACATTTTCCCCTCTACCAAACAAGAATATCTCCTCCATAGAGGTCCAACCTAGACCCGACAAATCCAACAAAAAAGAAAAAAGTGTAATCGAATTTAAAGAGAAGAAAAACAAACATTCGGTTGATTGTGTCAGTCCAAGAAAGCACAAGACAATATTTTATACATAGACACATATCTATACGTAGGCACTTACGTCTATATGTACCAAATATGGTTGTTTGTATTCCAAGAAAACCAGAGAAAAAATAAATAAGAAAGAATATAATCTGGATCTTTTTTGGTTTGTGTAAAAAGTGGAGGATGCTGCTGTTTCTCATATAGGAGTGGATAACTATAATATATATATATATATATATATAAATCATAAAAATAAATAATTAACTGATTCACTTTGAATCAATTAGCATAATATTAAAATTGCTTTTAAAAATTATGAATTTGAATAAATTTACGCACACATAATATTTTCTTAACTAGATAAATATAATTGTGTAAGAATGATATATTCAATGATTATTAAGAATTTAAAAAATATTTTTTTTGAAAAAAATTAAAAAAAAGTAAATAATTAAGGAAAGACGGCAACTTGCAGCAGCACAAGGACGATAACGTGTTGAATTTCCTCCTCCTAGTAAATAAGGCCATGTGCTCATGCCACGATTGACAAGGACTGGCAGGACTATCAAAACAAATTAAGAAACTTTTTCAAAAATCATATGATCTAGCTTAACGGAGTCAATTTAAGATAAACAAGCTGATAAACCAATTATATTGTAAAAATAGGAATCAACTACACTAAACTAATATATTATACTAATGAATTATTAGTTTAATAATATTAAAATCAATTTCAAAATTAAAAATTTTTAAATAATTTATCCGTTCATATTTGCCTTCACATCTTACAGTAATGGAGCTAAAATTGATTAAATAAAGACAAGATAAAGAATATATTTCCATATATATATAATTAATTTAATAAAGAGGAAATTTGCCAATTATATAAAAAATCCAATTATGTAATTGATTCATGTAAATTTGAATTTAATTCATTTAATATAATTCATAAAAATTTAATCTTTATATAAATTTAATTAAATAATGTTAATCTAATTATTAACTCTATCAATTAAAGTATGTTAGAGTGAGTTTTGGCAAAAAAATTGTTGAGTGACTTTTAAATTTTTAATTAGGTGTTAATGTTTAGGGTATGACAAAATTCATTAGCAAAGTCCGTAATTTATAAAAGATAAATTAATTTTATTTATATATTATTTTTATATTAAAAATTATTTAAAAAATAAATCTTAAATCATTAAAATTAAAATTTTAATATTTTATTAATAAATCACGTGATTATTAATTATATATACATGTTATTATATTGAAGATTAAGAAAAACCCTTGTAAAGAGTATGCAAAAAATGTCTGAATCCAATGAGGGCAGGTGTCATCTCACTCAAAATTTATCGTGTAGAGAACGATTTATTTTTCTTTGTTTTTTTTTTTTTTTTTTTTTTAAGGTTGTGAAAAGCAATATAATACTTTACACCAAATCACACTTTGTCAAAAGATTCCCATTATAAAGCATTCCTTTCTTCAGCAAGAACCAGGATATTATGTGGTCATCATAAGACAAGTAATCATCATTGTCATTGGTATGTATAAGTACTTTTATTTAAATTATAACAATATTATTTATAATTTAAATTTAATTGATAGTTATTAAATAATAAAAATTTTATCAATATGTGTATTAAAAAAATTTATATATTTTTTAATTTTTATGCTCTTAATTTATGTCATAAAAATTTTAATTTATAAATATTTATTTAATTATTTTTAATAAAAAATTTATAAATTCAATTTAAGTCTCTCTCGTTAATTAAACATAGCATCTTCTTTGATACTTTTTTTATGTAATAAAAAATTTTAATTTATAAATATTTATTTAATTATTTTTAATAAAAAAATTATAAATTCAATTTAAGTCTCTCTCGTTAATTAAACATAACATCTTCTTTGATTTTTTTTTATAGGAAAAAAATAAAAGAGTAGATAAATTATTTAATTTTTTAAGTTAAAATAAAATATATCGTATATGATAATTTAAAATAAATAATTATAGATAATATATTTAAAATAAATTTAATAAATGACTATCGATAAATTTAAATTTAAAATTTTTTTATTAAAAAAATAAATTTTAACCAATTGAATCAATAATTTATTGATATATTTTTGATACTTAAAATTCAACGAAAATTAACAACCGTCACTCTCATTTATACAATTAAATAATAATAATAATTGAAATATATCGTACAGCTCACTCTTTCTTTGATCCGACCATGTCCATTGTCTTTGCCCGGTCTTTGGGTTTTGCTTCGTGTCAACGCGTCCTTTGATCTGTCTCAATCCTAATATCCACCAAATCGCTTTTAATTGTGAATGCTAATTTAATTTATTTTATAATTCGTAATTGAAATTCATTGAATTTTATATTATACAATAAATAAAACTTAATAATTTTAATTTCATACAATAAAATATTAATGATTTATTTTTAATAAAATTTTAAAGATTTTTTAATTATTATTATTTTATTGGATGTTGAATCTTGAGTGCATTATTTTTTATTCAAAAAATTGGATTTAGAAACCTTTTTTCCATAAAAATAAAAAAAATCTCCTTAAAAATATATATATATATATATTTTTAAGAATTTTATTGAACGTTTCCATCAATTGTATAGATTTTGAAATTTCTATACTAATCATGTTAATTTCAAAATGGCTTGGTCTTTTCTTCCCAAAATCCCAACATGTTACTTCAATCTTGGAAATGAGAATGGAGACAAGTCACTTCAATCTTGTTGGAAACAAAATTCAGACATGGTATATGTGATTGTGAAATTTTCATAAAATCTTTTTTGATAAAAAAATTTAAAATAAATAAATTTTTTAATCTTTTAAATTAAAATAAAATATATCGCATTCGATTTAATTTATCAAAAAATTTTCAAACTTGTTGCTTTCTACTTTTAAAATCTGAACCTAAAATCTTGACTTAAAGGTGTTTTTAACAAGGAAATCACACTGCAGGTGACATTGGCTGCCGCATGAGGCCATGGTTAAAACAGAACAGCCTTGACAAAAATTATCATATTCCATGTATATGATTGCAAGAATCAAATTCACAAATGATCATATCCTTATTCCTTTTTTTTTATTATTATTTTTAGAGAATTTGCACTCAAGACTTTGGAATATTAAAGAATTTCAATTTAAAGTGACAATCATTTGGACCAATTTTGTCCATAAATTTGCCACATTATTAAAAGGGTACACAAGCTTTGCTATCTTCCATATTTGAGTATTTGATTCAAAACGCAGAGTTCGAATTTTTTACGATAATTTTGAATTATTATTTTTGATTTTATTTAATTAATTCATATGTAATTTATTTTTATTTTTTAATAAAAAAAAGATAAAATAAGAATAGTAAAAAGTAAAAATATCATACAACTAGAATTAATAATAAATTTGAAGAGTTCAATTTTGTTGCATTTGTGTTGTTGTGTTAAGTGGGTCTTGCATCTACATAAGGATAATAATGATTCGGTTCGGATTCAATTCGATTCAAATTTTTTAGATATTATATATATTATAAAAATATAAAATTTAATTCGAATTCGAATCAAATTTTTATTTAATTTGAATCAAATTTTATTGGTTTAATTTGATTTAATTTATCGATTTTTAATTTTTATATATTATTTTAATATATTTAAATAAAATTTAATATAAAATTATTATTTTTATTTTATAAAAATTTAAAATATATATAAATTAAAAAATATATAATTTCATTTTATTCAATTTTTTTTAAATTTTCACATTTTAATTTAAAATTTAATCTAAATTTAATATATTCATTTAATGTTTAAACTTAATTTAAACTAAATAAAATAAAACTAATCTAAACTAAACCAAATATTATAATTTTGAATCAAATTTTTTTATTTTTTTATTTTTTTATCGTTTCTACATCTAAAGTTCATATTGCTTTGCTCATTTGAACAGGGAAACAATAAGAAACAGAGTTGGGAACAGAGAAAGTTGATTGGAGCAAGCAACATTTAGACAGGTGGGGGTGCAACTTGACCCGAAATAAGGTGTGAATCAATTGACTTGACCCTACTCAAAAACAAATTCCCAATTTTTGTTTATTTTGAGCGAGTCATTGAAAGTTGCGACCCACAAATCATGAACAAAATCTTAACAGATACTCGTTTTGATTTGGTTTTATTCCGTATTTTTCTTGGTTTCTTGAGCAGTGCGGAGGCTTTGAATTTAAGGGGTGAAAAAAAAATTAAAAAAAAATTTAAAATTATAAGGTTAGATTTAATTTAGATTAATTTTTTTATTTGATTTAAATTAAGATCAAATATTAAATATATATTAAATTTAAATAAAGTTTTGTATTGAAATGTAAAAAATAAAAAAATTAAATTAAATTATATATTTTTATTAAATTTTATATATATTAAAATTTTAATAAAATAAATAATTATTTTATATATAATTTTATTTAAATATAT